GTCGGTTGGAAATAGGAGCTGGGATAGGGGTGAGAGGTGGAGTCGAAGGGTGCGTGTTTACTTTGTTCTGTTGGCAGATGCAACAGCCTTCGACGAAGTTCTTGACGAATGTGGCTAGTCCTGGCCACCAATAGTCGCATGAGAGAAGTTCCTGGGTTTTGAATTGTCCAGGGTGTCCAGCGGTAGGGGAGTTGTGGTGTAAGGAAGTGAGTTCTCGTCAGAGATCTCTGGGTGGTACATATGTAAGTCTTTTGAAAGAAAGAATTCCGTCGCTCAATTTCCAATTGGAAAGAGCTGAATGAAGAGGAGGGGGAATAGAGGGGTCTGTGAGCGCTTGAAGCGCGGTATGTACTACAGGGTCAATAGATGAAGAGATACGTAATCTGTCCGTAAAAGAAGTGTCAATGACATTGATAAACATTGAATCGGGAAGGAGTTGGATACTAATATTGTCCTTTTTGTCACTATCGACTGGAAGGTGATCCATTCTATGAGAAAGAAGCTCAGGAATAATAAGTTCTTTTCCAGGTACATGTTGAATCTGGAGTTCGAATTGAGAAAGGAAAGTCTGCCATCTTGCTTGGCGTTGGTTAAGGTCTTGTACGTCTCTGAAATAAGTGAGGTTTTTGTGGTCAGTTTGTACGGTCACAGGATAGGGAGATCTGAGGAGATAATGTCCCCATGCTTTCAAAGCGCGGACGATAGCGAGTAATTCACAATCGTCAATCTGATAATTACGTTCAGCGGGATTGAAAGATTGAGATAAAAAGGAGCACAGGAGCCAGTCTCCATTATCGTTTTTCTGGAGTAGTACGGCTCCAGTCGCATAGAGCGATGCGTCAGTGGCAATCGCAAAGGGGGAATTCTTGTCGGGGATTTGAAGGATCAGGGAAGAAGTAAAGATACGCTTCAGCTTATTAAAAGCTTCCTCGCGTTTGGGGGTCCAAGAGAATTCTTCATCTTTCTTGGTCAGGTCTATAAGAGGTCTAGCAATCGAAGAATAGTCAGCAATAAACCATCTATAAAAATTGGCAAATCTGAGGAATGATCGGACTTCCTTCACTTTCATGGGAGTCTTCCATTCGGATATACCCTTTAATTTAGCAGGATCCATGGCAATCGAACCAGGTTTGATGATCATGCCGAGGTATTCAATGTCGGTTACGTTGAAGGTACATTTTTCGGGTTTTAGATGGAGGTTGTTGCGGAGTCATTGGAGTACTTTGTGGGTGCGGATACGATGGGTTTCGTCGTCTTTAGAGAAGATTAGTATGTCATCCATGTATATAATAATCCACCCCTCCTGGATCATATCTCCGAACAGATCGTTCATCATAGATTGAAAGGTAGCGGGCGAATTACACATTCCGAAGAACACGACCATGGGTTCGAAGAGTCCCTGGGAAGTGGCAAAGGCCACCTTCCATTGATCAGTTTTTCTCATATGTACATTATTATATCCCCATCGAATGTCCATCTTGGTAAAGATCTTGGCGTCCTTTAGCTTATCTATAAGATCAGAGATTAGTGGTAAAGGGTAATTATTCTTAACCGTGTGTTCGTTCAAGTAGCGATAATCCTGGCAGGGTCGGAGGGAACCGTCTTTCTTCCCGATGAAGAAGAATGGAGAAGATTGAGGAGATTCGGAAGGGACGATCGTCCCTTTAGCTAGATGTTCATCAATGAAATCGTTCATAGCCTTTTCTTCTTTGGCGTTAAGTGGATAAATCTTGCATTTCTGCGGTTCGAAAGATTCCTTGAGGTCGATCTTATGGTCATATTTGCGTTCTGGGGGTAGAGTACCATTAGCTACATCACCGAATACGTCTTTGTATTGTTGGAACTCTTCGGGAACAAGTTCCTCGAACGTTTTCTTCGGTTTGGCGGCGTCCTGGGTGAGTGTCTGTGAAATGTTGTCAGTTTTTCGGATATAGGTATGAAAGTCGTCATCGTTGTTGATGGGATCTAAAAGGTGTGGGAGCGTTTCGTTAGTGGGGTCCCATTCCAGTTCTAAATCTTCCAAAGCATCGTAGAAGACGTCTTCTTCTTCGATTTCTTCGATCGTTGCTTTTTTGAGGGTACGCTCCCTTAAGCAGACTTCTTGATTAGTCCAATCGATATCTGGGTTTTCTTTCTCAAGCCAAGTCATTCCCAAGATAGCGTCTTCTCCTCCTAAAGAGGTTACGAAGAAACACTTTCGCATAGGGATATCTTTGATAAGGAAAGAAAGTTCACAGTACCGTGTGATTCTTCCAGCTTTGTTTAATGTGCCGTCTACGTTACGCACAGGTATCAGAGTTTCAAGTTTGTGCATGCGAATATTCTCTTTGAGTATGAACTTCTCATCGATGAATTCACCTTCTGCGCTGCAATCAATTAGAGCGGCGGCTACGGTGGTTTTTTCGGTTTTCTTAGATCTGATGGTTAAGGGTAGATGAATAGAATTAGTGTTGCCAATAGATTGTACTAAAAGTCCGATTCTGGGAGTTTCTGACACCGTGGCAGGCTCCCCTAGGCAAAATCCTCCTCATCACTACTTTCTTCTTTCTTAACCGGTTTCTTACCGGCTTTCTTCATCTGGCGTGCTTTGAACGCCTTCCACTCCTGAAATTCTTTGTAGTCATCATCAGATGATTCCTTGACTACTTTCCTGGTGCTGGTTGTAACCGTAGGATGGTTAGGGCAATCTGTGGCTAAGCCTTTCTTACCGCACTTGAAGCAAAGGCTGCCCTTGCGCCTATGCTCCCGTTCTTGAGGAGTTAAATACATCTTCCTTGTCTTCTTTTCCCCTTCTTCATCATCTACTTCTATCTTATCTATATCCATGGCATAGGGGTCTTTTGCCTTGGTATAGGAGGGAGGTGCTATTAAGGTCCTTCGCACCTCGACATCTAAGGCTTTCTCTAGCCACGTCTCGATAGTGGTGGGGGTAGTCTCAAAGGCATAGATAGCGGATACTATCTCACACTTTAGCCCGTTTCTGAAGAACATAATTTTCGTATTTTCTTCAGTGATGCCGGTATCGGCGAGGATGGTGCGGAATAGGGAAGCGTACGTGGCTACACTGCCGGTCTGTCTGAGGGAAGAGATACGGCAGATTGCCGTTTGTTCAACATTTTTAGGAAAGAAGGTGGATTTAAACTGCTTAGCGAAATCCAGCCAGGTTCCGTAATTCTTGGAGGCTGCAGCCGTCTTAAGTTGACCTTCGGCCCATTTAGCTGCTTCACCTTTAGTCATAAGGCTTAGAGCAAAGATAACTTTCTTCTTGTCGTTATTGTAGACTTCATCATTCATATCTAGGTACGCTTCTACCTGAAGCGTCCATCCCTGAGCAAGGCAAGTATCGCCATTGAAGGGTGCGGGGGTCTTTCCGATTTCTTTAGGCATTGGTGCAGAAAGGGATCGTTCGTATGTTTGGGTGTGAAAGTTCCAAACTTTGTTCTTGGGGGCGATGCTAGCGTAGTAGGCTGCCCACTGGTTGATTGAGTATCTGGTGCCCTTGGCATCTATCTGATAGAACTCTTGTTCTTCTTCGTCCCAGGTGAAACCGGGAGGGGTCGGGGCGATTGGTGGTATGGTGTCTGGTTCTGGGCGCGAGTTCTAGGGAACCGCGCAGTAAAGAAGTAACTTGACCTTTTGTTACGCTCGGCATTCGTGAGAACGGCTAAATGGTCACAAAGAGTCTAAAGCATACACCTATGTACGAGTTGTGCGAGTTAAGCAGTATATTGCAGGCCCTGGTCTGCGTAGGTCAAGTTAAAGAATACAAGCGTAAGAGATAGAGTATATATAAAGGAATTAAAGCGGAGCTTTAATAAATGAATCAGAGTTAGAAAGTAAATAACGAATCAGAGAAAAGAATAAAGGATCGTACAATAGAATGTCATGAATGTCTAAGAATGATTAGTAATTGTGAATAAGTGAAGAGGTGAAAGGAAAAGAATAGAACTGTAACATATAGTAGCAAAGGCAGAATGATGTTTGATAAGTGAAGGACTGTTGGAAGGAGCATATGTAATAGAAATGGGAGGGACACTTCCCCTGAAACCAAGCCATAAGCCATTGGGGATGTGTGCATATTTGTACAATAGTTTTGCAGATTTGAGATATGTGAGCCATGCCTCTGGGTGATATGGTGTGAGGGTTTTAGATTTTCTCGCACTGAGGGCAACCCTGAGCTCCATGATCCTTGGCCCCACATCCTGAGCACTCGTGTATGTGAGACTGAGAGCTGCTTGAGCATCCCCTGGGTCTTTGCCAATCATAGCATAGTTCATTCCCTTTGGGGTTGGTGATGTGACCTCCTGTGTTGCAAATGCATTGAGTTTTGGTCTGCTTGTCCCATAAGAATTCAGACATGCACTTGTGGATATTGTGATGGAACCAACTAAGGCAGAGCGCACAGGCAGCTGGTATAGACTGACCTGTGCTCGAGGGAAAAGACTGCTGGCTCAATAGTTTCTTGCTGGGTTGGATGGTGGAGGATGGATGGTATGGGTGGTAGCGATTATCTGTGGTTGGGGCAGACTCCTTTCCTTTGCCCAAGTTCATTTCATTCCCTCAAGAACAAACAAGTGCACCTGGTGTCACAAAGGAGTTCTGCAGCTGATGGATGTCAGAGTCAGGTGGGAGCATGTGTGGGAGCAGGTCAGAAAAGCAGAAGCAAGCAGCATGATGAGCGAGTTGTGTTTGAAGTGGGGTTGTTCGAAGTGAGAAGGTCCAAAGGACAGCATGATGGGTGGTAGCATGGAAGAAGGAAGTGAGCATAGCAATAGGCAAGCATAGACGGAAGCATAGAAGCAGATAAGGTAGAGGTTTGGTGAATGTTTTGAACAATGATTCTTTGTGAATTTACATACCAGTTTGATGCTTGCATCACATTCTGCTTCCCAGACATCATCAGAGAGGGTGCTGTATAGTGCACTGTTGAAAATCCCAATGTTAAAGCCTTGGTTCTGAGTCAGGTAGTCATGCCACTCCCACCTGACAAACCCTGCATATCAAAGCAGTGTCTTTTTGCCACGAGGGCGTATGCGATGCTCATGATTAGTGATGAGGGTGAAGAATAGCGCTAAGGCTTGCTGGTGCTTATCCAGCCAGCCGCATTTGTTGATGTGAACCAGGAAGCTGGTCTTCGCCATATCGAATTGATGCCATGGAAGGTCATGGTCTTGCAATGCCTTGTGTGATGCCTTGAATGCTGCTATTGGCTTGAAAGCTACATACCCATCAACTTTCACCAGGCCAAAGGAATCCTCTGCTGTAGATCTGGAGCTATCTGCAGCCTCCTGGCACCCTTCTGGGCTAAAGTACCAGAGCTCTACATACTCCATGCTCTTGATCTTTTGCAAGGCATACTGCGAAGGACAAGGGATCAGAACATCTGTGACAACCACTCCAGCATAAAAGTTGTTGATCTTGGGCTTCTTCTCTGCTTCCCATTGTTCTTCAGCCACTTCAGCTTCTTTTGCGGTGCGTTCTTGCTCTTCTTGTTCTCGCTGTATTCAAAGGTCTTCCTCAGATTGCTGTTGCCAAAGGGTGATATTTTCTTGATGTTCCAGCCTCCAGCCCTCCACCATATGTGTGAGGGCTTCCTCTCTAGTGGGTCCCCCATTGACGGTGGCATTGAGCCAGCCTGCGTATGCAGGGGACTCAAAGTTTGGCTGCACTTCAAGTGCCAGGTCAGCCAAGATACACTCCATTGCAGGCCAAGTTGAGTTGGAGGATCACTTGTGTCAGATCAGTAGGAACACAACAAGCTAAGCAAGGAAAGATAAATCAATAGCTGATGAAGAAAGAAAATAAACAAGGAGATACGAAGTTGTCAAGGACAACTGGGCTGAGAACATGAGATCATTGCAGTATGAAAGCAAGGCTCATACTGCATCTGTTGCTTGCACAAAGACTACACTCTATTTCTCCACTTGTGCCTCATTACATAATAGAGTAATCAAAATTCGAACACCAACCTACCTAGTTACACTTGTTTGTTCACTTTCGGGGTCTCAGATTTGACTTTCTGTCTATCTTTTTGTTCTTCATATGTTTGAACATGATGTATTAAGAGGATATCTTTCTATAGTATAAATGAACATATTTTGATGAGCATGAGGAATACTTGTTCATGAAGAAGTGGCTGCAGGAGGTGATACAATTTTTACACCAAAGATCTAGGGGGAGAATTACTGCATTTGGTGGTCTGGCAAACAATGTGTCTGTACACATGTCCATCAGACGTGTTGTCCCAGGCCCATGTCTGACACTGCATGGCCATCCAGTCCCTCTCTTCACTATAATACATTGCATAATAAGGTGTTACACAGCACCTGGCCACTGGATGGTCTCTCCAACCCCGACTTTGAGCTGGATTTTGTGGACAGTCAGGCCATGCAGTGAAACTTGTCAAGCAAAAAAGAAAGTTTCAGCCGCAATCCTCATGTACCCAGGCAATAGCATTTAGTCTCAGGGCAGCCACAAACAGCTCAAAGGCATCCCCATCCACAAATGCACCAATTCATTGTCAACTATGCCCAGCGTCATCAGGTGATCACGCTGTCTTCTGGAAATACAATGTCCACCAGCACATCACCAGTTCTCATGACACTTCATACAACTCCCTTCCAGTTGGCTTCGCAAAGGAAATTGAAATCTTGCAGCTTGAAAAGGAGCGCCTTGGGATACCACCAGATTTGATTGACAACAGTGTTCAGGATGACTCAAATGCAACCACTGCAGCTAGTACTAGTCAAAACTCGTTAATGAAGCACAGGCAACAAACACTTCAAGGTAACACTGGTTCCAAGCGCTCGAAGAAGGCTTAAATTTTAAATTTGATTCATGCATGTACAGTACATCAAAGCTACTTCTACTGTTGCTTTACTAGACCTATCATAATAGTTATATGTAACTGCACAATGCACAATTTAATATCACAAGTTGCTTGACCATTGAGCTGTGTTCTGAAGCCATTACTTGCTTGAAATTCAATATGTAGTGCATGGACTTAGCAAAAATTTGCTGGTTGAGTATGGTACAGTATGGTATAGTATTCGACTTGTTTTTGGGGTCCTGGTCACTCAACTTTTGCAGGTCAGTGTTGAAAACCTTAGAGGCTGTTCAGCAACCAATGTTGACCAAACATCTGGCAAATGTCATGTGAGAGGTTCTCGGCTTCAAGCGCTTCAATTATCGGAGCTCAAACCTTACAACTCATACCTGTACATCTACCATGAATTCTTATCTTATTGACTACTATCATCAGCAGAGACTCTGTACCTCTGTTGTTGCACTCACTGCTCTCTGTGCTAGCTTCACCACAGTCCTCATGGCTCAACCAGAAGTAACATCGATGTTGGACAATGCAAAGGCACACTGGCAAGATGCAGAAGTGGATGTTCTACTTCATCACCTGATTCAGAATCGGGCAGCGGGTGGCGATGGTGGAAACTTCACAATGCCTACCTTCAACAGTGCAGCAGCTGCTATCAATGACAATGATGTGATTCAAACAATAGGCCCACCAAAGATGGGCAAGATGGTTAAGACGAAGTGGACATTGGTATGTGATCGTTTCTTGAATGATTATAAGTTTATGAGCATGTTTTAGCTCAAAAAAATCTTTAATCAAATCGAGATCTATCGCAATGTATCTGTTTTCCATTGGGATAATGTGCGGGGGGCTGGAATCAAGGGCACTGCAGCTGCCAGTGTTTGGGATACATATGTTGATCCCAAGGTATGTACTTATAATAAATTCTATTGCATTTGACTGATGTCCAAAAGTCACGAGCTGCAATGCGCCCCTTTTGCAACAAAGGGTGGGCTTTGTTACAATCATGGTTACCCCCTATCTCTTTTTCCCTTATACTTGTGTATTACGTCGTGACTGCACCTTACTGTGCCATCATTAGACTAACCACCTTCCATATCTGTATTACATCGTGACCGCCATGTGCCGTCATTAGATGACTCATTCTCTTATCTCTGACTCATACGTACCGGCCCTAAAGCCAACAACTACCTATAAAAGCTCGGTTATGTACTTAGTAGAACTTTACTTTAATCTTACTAGGTTTTACCCAGAACTATCCTTCGCTTAAGACCCCCAATCTTAAGTCGTCTGATAACCAATATTCAAGCCAGAGACACTCTCTTTGACTTGTCTTAAGAGCCTTACATTTGTGAGGTCTAGATCCAACTGCAGATGTTACTCTTATCGAGTATCTGTTGTTGTGCTTATCCTAGTCAACATACGGTTCGCCATAACAAAAGATTAAAGTCGCTACCGACCCTCTCCATCAGAGAGGTTAAAAGATCTCAGAAACAAGAACTCAGCGAGAGAATGATAACATTCCCCTGAACCAGAAACATCACTTGATCAGACGCTCAGGATGTCCACTGTCCCCAATACTCCAGAATTAAAAGCCAGAGCCCCGTCCACCTATGATGGGAGCCCTCAGCAGGCTTTGCGATGGTTGTATGCGATTAAGGCGTACTTCGCGCTTAACGCTACGATCTACAACACCGACGAGAAAAAGGTTATCACTGCTCTCATGTATATGACAGAAGATAGTGCCATGGGTTGGGCACTCACCTTTTACACCAAAGTCGACAACACCGCTACCAAGTCCTATGGGACTTTCGCAAACTTTGAAACCAAGTTCAAAGAAGCCTTCATACCAGCCGATGCCATCGGCACCGCCATGAACAAACTCAGGATGTTAAGACAGACAGGCGATCTTACTTCCTATATCGCCAGCTTCAAAACTCTTGCCGTGCAAGCCGGTGTTAAGCAAGACGCTGTCCTGATCACGTTCCTCAATGATGGGCTAAAGAAGGGAATCGTCAATTCTATCTTTCAGATGGAAACCATCCCAACAGACTTCAACAAATATGTCGCTGCAGTCGTCAGACTCGACAGCAACTATCAGAGGGGAGTCGCATATCGATCTAATCATCGAATCACCACCAAACCGTTGGGACAGCGTTATGTACCCAGACCGACTATCAACCGACACGACCCAAATGCCATGGAAGTAGACCGGCTTACTGAAGCCGAGAGAAGTGACCACATGAAGAAGGGATTATGCTTCACATGTCACCAGAAGGGCCACCTTACTAGAGCATGCCCACAGAAGAAGAAAATTCCTGTTTGCAGAGAAGAGTTGAGCAACAGCGAAGAAGAAGATACAACAATCCGTCGCCTCGCCGAGGATTTTTGATGTGGAAGACTGGATTGATGTCAGTATCTTCCGATGTAGCCATCAGACTTGTACAAAGTATTGGAACTAGAAAGGAACTTTGCATTCCTATTTCTCTCATCTCCAAGACTCATCTGAAAACCGTCGAAACAACAGCTGTTGTAGACTCCGGCACTGCTGGAACCTTTATCTCCAAAGAGTTTGTCAAGATTCACGGAATCTGTACACACAAACTCTCGAAACCATTCCGAGTCACTACTGCGGATGGAAGTTATGTGAAAGGAGGTGCTATCACCCGATACTGTGTCCTCATCATCAAAATAGATAACCGATCCATGATCAGAAAGTTTAATATCGCACGGCTTGGCCAACGCGACCAGATTTTACTAGGGATCCCCTGGCTACATGCCATGGACCCAGTAATCCGATGGAAAGCGGAAACGCTAGAACTCTCTCGAACAGAGAAGAGTGATCAGATTGAAGAAGAAGTTGATAATGAACGAAAGAAGAATGGGCTCCCCCCTCTATTCCGAAAATCGGAAAGACGGAAGAAAGACCCGATTCCATTTGTGGTGCTGCCTAAGGCACCCCTTGTAAAACCGGTTTTGCCACCTAAAGAACCGATGCCCCGAGCTACCATCGAAGAAATTCCCGATGAAGAAGCCCCGTCCGCACTACCTAACCTAGACCCCATACCTGAAGACGATGACGACTCTTTCGATATGAAAGATGATGTGTGGACGACAGATTACGCACCACCTGTGCGGGAAATCGCCACTTACCATCTAGAAGATGATGAATTCTTGGTGGAGTACCCCATTGACGCCACCGAGCTCTGGGTAATCACCAACGTCTCGATGGATACCCCTTTAACAAAAGACGGTACCAGTATCGTGGAACAGCAACCTACGGTCACACCCCTGCCACGGCCTACCAAATATGTTAAGACCAGTAATAAAGCACAACAGTTTGCGCTAGCCACTGGGCTTGAACAGAAGAAGAAATCATTCGAGGAACTTGTCCCCTCCTATCTTCACGATTTTGCTGATATCTTTGCAAAAGACGGTCTAAACCAATTACCACCAGAACAGCCTGGCATAGATCATCGAATTGAGACCAAACCCGGCTTTATTCCCAAGACGTCCAAGGTGTACCCATTATCAGAAATGGAACGAGCGGCAGTCAAAGCCTTTATTGATGAGAACGTAAAGAAAGGATTTATATCCGAGTCAAAGTCGCCTCAAGCAAGCGGCTTCTTTTTCGTAGGAAAGAAGAGCAGAGACCTTCGTCCCTGTCAGGACTACCAATACATTAATGAATGGACGGTTAAGAACACCTACCCACTCCCATTGCCACTCTCCCTGGTCGCCCGGTTACATGGTGCTAAGTACTTCACGAAGATGGACGTTCATTCAGGATACAACAACATCCGCATTCATCCAGAAGATTGATGGAAAGCCACCTTCACTACAGAATACGGTCTTTTTGAACCAAACATCATGTTCTTCGGCCTCTGCAACTCCCCAGCCACCTTCCAGGCATACATGAATAGAACATTCCAACAGGAAATTAACGAAGGATGGCTCGTCATATACATGGATGACATCCTGATATTTTCCAATGATCTCACCTCCCATCACGAGCATACCCAGCATATCCTTGAAAGAATTTGGCAAGAGAAACTTTTCCTTAAACCCAAAAAGTGCACGTTTGACACTCAGGAAGTGGAGTATCTCGGGATGGTTATCTGTCCTGGATGTGTAGCAATGGACAACACCAAAACCAACGGTATTTGGGACTGGCCTGCTCCCACTACTGTGAAAGAAGTTCGGTCATTTTTGGGCTTTTGTAATTTTTATTGAAACTTCATTTCCCATTATTCTGACATCGCCAGACCCTTGATCGACCTTACCAAGAAAGACGTCAAATTCCTTTGGACAGAACAATGTGTGTCTGCTTTCTCCAAACTAAAAGAATGCTTTCTGAAGCAACCAGTCCTTCGAAACCCCGACCCCACCAGACAGTTTGCGGTCGCTACTGACACATCCCTCGTTGCTATGGGCGCAGTATTGCTCCAAACTGATGATAATGGCATCTATCATCCATGTGGATATTTGTCCCAGACCCTGAACCCCGCAGAACGAAACTACCAGATCTTTGATCGTGAACTCCTTGCAGTTATTCGTGCTCTGACTGAATGGCGTCACTATCTGGAAGGAAATCCCCATCCTATCATTGTTTTTACCAATCATAAGAATCTACTATATTTTAGGACAGCACAGAAATTGACCTGCCGCCAAGCCCGATGGCAGTTAATCCTGTCATGTTATGACATTGAACTCCACCATGTTGCGGGGACTAAGCTTGTCGCCCCTGATGCCCTCTCCTGTCGCCCTGATCATGGGTCGGATTCTTCGGAAGATAATGCTAATGAAACGCTCCTCCCTGATTCCATGTTCGTCCGACTTCTTGATGTCGAACTCATGACCACACTCGCGAACCCTGATCTCTCTGACCCCGATCCCATCTTCACCACCGCCTCTGATGCTCTGGATGGTCTCTCACTCCCCCTGATGAAATCCGCTCTTACGGATTGGGAAATCAAAGATGATATTCTCTACTACAAGGACCGCGCCTTATTCTGGAACGTTGTCACGATCATCCCACTGCCGGTCATCCCGGACGTTTCAAAACTGAAGAACTAGTCAAACGTGACTTTTGGTGGCCTGCTATGGGCACCTATATTCGTAAATACGTTGAAGGCTGTGCCCTCTGCCAGCAATTGAAATCAGACACTCACCCGGCAACCCCCCCCCCCTTGTCCCCATCCCTTCCATTGCTGCGGCCCCCTTTACCCAGATCTCCGTCAATCTTATCACCGACCTTCCCCTGTGCGCCGGTTTTGATTCTGTCATGGTCGTGGTCGACCATGGGCTTATGAAAGGGGTAATTCTTATCCCATGTACTAAATCTATCACTTCCGAAGGGGTTGCCAACAAATTCTTCAAATACGTTTACCGACGATTCAGCCTACACGAAAAAGTCATCTCCGATTGTGGACTGCAATTTGTATCCAAGTTCTCTCGAGCCCTCGCCAAGCTCTTGAAGTATGACGTAGCAGCATCAACTGCTTATCATCCCCAGACTGACAGCCAGACTGAACGACTCAACCAAGAGTTGGAAACATACCCCCGAATCTATTGCCGGAATAACCCTGAGAACTGGGTAGAACAGCTCCCTATGGCAGAATTCGTGCATAACCACCAAAAACACGACTCTCACAATGCATCACCATTCTTTCTAATGATGGGATATGAACCACAAGCCCTTCCACACACCCTTCCTGACTCCACAGTCCCCGCGGCAGCAGACAGACTTCGCTTGCTCCAAAAGTCAAGAGAAGAAGCACTCTCCTGCCACAACCTTGCAATGCAACAAATGGCAGAACGAACTCACGGGCAGAAGTATCATCCTTGGAAGATTGGAGATAAGGTGTGGTTATCTGGAAAGAACCTGATCACGCAGTTACCTTCACGAAAACTTGCTCCTAAATGATATGGCCCATTCCCAATCACCACCATCCTTTCTCCTATCACATTCACACTCCAACTACCACCCCAGTGGAAAGTTCACCCCATGTTCCACACTTCTGAACTATCGTCCTATCATGAAACAGAGGTTCACGGACCGAACTTCCACGATCCACCTCCTGATGTCATTGATAACAAAGAAGAATATGAAATTGATGCGATCTTATCGCACAAAGGGACGGGTAAACGAAGACGCTATCTTTTATCATGGAAAGGATATTCGTCTGCCAGCAATGAGTGGGTTCCCGAAGAAAACCTTAGTAATGCCTCCGATATCCTCACTGCCTATAAGAAGGCCCATAGGTTGTAAACCCCAGAACAATGTCCCATCTCGAACGACTACGTCTCTGCATCTTATGAATTGAAGAACTCACCGCTGCCATGAACACTGTCGCTGAAGGAAATGCCCACCCATTGACTCTTCTTGACTACCAAAACATCACTGCCGCCAACCTTGCTCGTCACACATCATCCCCAGTAGAATCACCCCCGACTTCAGATTCCACTCTCACCCTCACTGACGACTCTGTCCTCACGGATTACTTCTCAGTCATTGACCAAGTAGAAACCAGTGCTCTATTTGAATCCGCCATCACCTCCCAGCAGTACACTATAGAGATAGATCGCCTCCTTGGAGAACGAGGGGCAATATCTAGCGGCCTCATTATCAGGATTATTAGAGATGCCAGTCTTATTGACTGAACAGCTGCTCTCCTGGATGATGAGCGCCATCAAACCATTTTCCGCCATCTTCATATACGTATTCGCAATACTGTGATCTGTCTCTTGCCTGAAGAAACTAGAGATGCTATTAGAGAAGCTATCCATATCGTCACCGAGCGCATTGCCCTCGACCCCATTGCATGACCACCATCCCCTCACGTCACTGTTCCTGTACCACTGCCAGCTCCTACTATGGTTACTGTGGAGCATCAGGATGATAATATCCCTCCTATTGCTGTACTCGACGTACCAGCTTCTCCTTCTCCTGTTCCCGTCACACGTACCACACGCCGACTTCCACTTAAATGAAGGTCTTCACACCTCACCACCAAACGAGTTGCCTCCGCCTCCCCAACTAAAGCACCACTCAAACGATCGAGATCACCCTCCCCTCCAAACCAGTCCTCTTCCGTCACAGTCGTAAAAACGTCGCCAGCCGACAATGTTGTATGCCGTAACTGCCATGTCGCCAGGCATCGTCATAAGAACTGCCCAGCATATTACTGCAGAGTTTGCAAAGAATATGCACCCGGCCACCTATCGGTCTTTTGTAGAGAGTTGAAGGGAGAAGCCGTCATCCCTCTGGTATGGACTGATGTTGGTTTCTACGACGCTCTCGCTCGATGGGAGATTGAGCAAGATGCTATCACTCATGCTGCCGAAATAGAGCGGACCACCATCACTGAAGAGCAGGACAATCTGCTCTATTCCAACTGCGACGTGGACCCCATTTACTGGGCTAATCAAGATAATTGAAGTTGGTGACTTCATCCCTAAACGAGGGGTAATGTTACAATCATGGTTACCCCCTATCTCTTTTTCCCTTATACTTGTGTATTACGTTGTGACCACACCTTACTGTGCCATCATTAGACTAACCGCCTTCCATATCTGTATTACATCGCGACTGCCACGTGCCGTCATTAGATGACTCATTCTCTTATCTCTGACTCGTCTTGATGACATATGCCGATGACGTAGGTCTTATCTCTGACTCATACGTACCGGCCCTAAAGCCAACAACTACCTATAAAAGCTCGGTTATGTACTTAGTAGAACTTCACTTTAATCTTACTAGGTTTTACCCAGAACTATCCTTCGCTTAAGACCCCCAATCTTAAGTCGTCTGATAACCAATATTCAAGCCAGAGACACTCTCTTTGACTTGTCTTAAGAGCCTTACATTTGTGAGGTCTAGATCCAACTGCAGACGTTACTCTTATCGAGTATCTGTTGTTGCGCTTATCCTAGTTGACATACAGTTCGCCGTAACAGGCTTCATATGACAACATGCAGATGATTTTGGGTGATAATAGTGGCGCTCGTGGAAGGCACGCTTTGCATCTGGCTACTGTGCCCCCTCCATCTATCAATACTGCAGATGACGTCCTTGATGTTATTGATGGAGGCCTCGACTTTCTTGACATGGATGTAGACACTCAGGCTGCTGGAGCCGCCACCACCAGTGATGTACCAGACATGAGCCCTGATTTGATGATGCCACCTAGTGCCCTGCTTCAGGGAACCTTCACTACTACTCAGGTTGCCAGCTCCCAGTCCAGTAAACGCATGCACACTAACACTTTTGTTGACTCTTCATCTCAATGCACTGGTGCCCCTCCTGCATCCAGCAATCCTGTTCCGCTCTCATCAACATTGGTATCATCACCAGCTCCCAAGAAGGCGTGAGTGTCAGTGCATGGTGGCATGCAGACAGGGATGAGTAGTGCTGCAAAAATTGCTGCAAAGATCACTCCTGCTGCTGCCGTCATGAATATGCAAGGTAGCATTAACCACCTCACAGATGTTATCGAGAAGACCATATCCACTCCACCTCTGCCTCCACCACCAGTCCCTGTTGCACCAACTGTACCAAATATCATCTCTTGTGACCTGGAAATTATGCACAGCAAAGATGGGGAATTTTTGTCAGTTGGTCAGAGAGCCAGCCTCCTGCACATATTTTCCCTTGCAGGAGGGGAAAACAAGCTTGCTATCTATGTTGGGCTTGAGGATGACTATGAGACACACCATGCATTTATCTCAGAGCTCTTAGACTCTCCACCGCTGCAGTAGTACTATCATACCATTTGTGTCACTGTGCTTGTTACATTTTTTGTACCAACCTGTAGTATCCCTCTCATGTACTGCTCATTTTACTGTATTTCACTCATCCAAGTCACTGAATTGTATACAAATTGAAACGGATCAGATACAACTACATGCTACTTGTAAGAATCAATCCAGTTCATACTCATCGTCCAATGCATCCAATGCATCATTGTCATCGTTATCAAGATCATGTCGTTCTTCTAAAATATGCTGATATTCAACCCACATCGCTTGTGCAATGAGATCACGTTTCACATGCAGATCATTGTGTGCTTCTCCTGCTGCCTGCTCCCAGTTTGCGGCATGCATATGAGTGTCTGAGTCCGAATAGTCTGCTTCAGGTAGCGCACCTTCTGAGGGATCATGAAAACGTATGAAGTTGTGAATGCAGCACAATGCGGCTGGAATCTGAGCTTGTATGCTCATAGCATACGGCGGTGATAGATGGAGGATTCGGAAATGTTGTTTGAGGACACCAAAAATCTGCTTGATGACATTTCAAGCAGATGAATGACGGTGATTGAATAACTCTTCTTTCATAGTTGGCCTGTGAATAATCAGCACATTGTAGAAAGAATAATACCAGTACATGTACCTCAAACCTGCGCAGCCCCATTCTGCAAGGTGGTAGCACACATTACGATACGGAATGAGTAGTTCAGGCCGCAGAGGGAAGCCTGCATCTGCAAGGAAGTATTTCCCTGCAGGAATATGAAGGTCATGGCCTGCTGCAGCCTCATAGACATGTGCATCTGTGGCTGACCCTTCCCAGCCAGTGAGTGCGTAAGTAAAGTTGAGTTTGAAGTCACAGGCAAACAGGCAGTTTTGCAAAACGAATCCCTTCCGATTGCGATAGGGACCTCGTTCGAATGCACGAGGTGAAGCATGAATGTGGCTACCGTCAATAGCCCCAATGGTATCTTTGAAAAATGGCCAAAACTTAGGGTCAGAGCGAATTCTATCAGGAATGGAGTCATCCAGCAAGTGAACATAGTTTGTGTAGAAGGGGGAAGATGAGAATATGCTGAGCATCTTGCAAAAATAACTATATAGGAAATACAATGAGACATCAGCGGATCATAACTATTAGCACATACTTACCAAGAAATCGTTTCATTGGAGTGTTGAAATCGTTCGCCAACATGCCTGACAGACAGTCCTGTGACAGACATATATAGAAAAATCACAAGTTGTTCCTCTAGCAAAACAAACTTGGAGTTGGTATAGCCAAGGGTATGAAGCTCAGATATAAGCTCTGCAAAAGCATGTGCATGCATGCCAAGTTCACATCGGATCCGTTCTGGGTGGCCAGTCAACAGCTCCATCACCCAGGCTTCACCAGAGAGAGCAGATGTGTGATACAGCTCCGGGTCTTTAGCATACACTGACTCTAGTATATTGGCTGTAGCACTGATTAAGATGCTGACTAGAAGGATTGAGTGTTGGATGAGGCGGCGTTGAACTTCTGGATGTTGGGGCATAAAATGCTGGAGTCTTGAATGAGGATCCATTGGTGTAGGGATGCATAGAATACAACTCTAATGACAGTGTATTATACCCTACAGCCCATATCAGCGTGCTAGGGTTAGTCCGAATTCGGACTATGATTCAAGTTCCGAACTTCGGCGAAATCCAAGCCGAGATGACATTTGCCAAATGTTGGTCAACATCTGGTTGCCGAACAGCCTCTTATGTTTGCTACCCCCTTAGTAGGAATCATCACCTTTACAACTCTGTTTGTTTTACTAGCTGTCCTCTCTCCCGGCTTTGAGGAATCGCAGGACTCTCGGGGGAGTTGTTTCCTAAGTTCTTGGGCAAGGTTTCCAATCGTTCTGCTCCAAGCGATCGACAGGCAGGCCACTGGCGAGAACCACAATCAGCATAATCGCCAGCAAGAGCTCACAGGTCCGCTGATAGGCTCAGTCCCTCAATCTGAATCCACTGGCACGGCTACAAGTTCCAGCACAGGGTCTGCTACCAGTTCAGACAACCAAAGTATCCATCTATCCTATCATCAAGCTGAATAACCTGACCCGACGCTCGCAAAATGAAGAATTGCTGATGCTACCAAAGGTATGACGGGCATGAGAAATTCTCAGAGTGGTCCAACACACTACTTCAACAACAAACGACATACAGTCCATTCCAGCGACACGTTTCCCGCTGGTCTTGTATCCTTGAAGCTGTTCAACTCCGCTAACGGGCTCACAAATATTTTGTCTCTATCTTGTAGGCGGCTAACTGTGGTGCGTAGCTCCATCCCTATGCGAACATGGTATCAAGTATCTTCGCTTGCACAGCCAAGATGCACTTGTTTCGATATCATCGTCTTCGTACGTTAACGGGGTTCTGGTGGAAGATAAAACACGATGATATTTTTTGCCAATTGTGATCCTACCTATGCGGCGCGTGCAGTTCGTGGTCACCATGAGCTCGGACACACCACGATGTAACTGTCGCATTCACATTTGTTACTTGTTCTCTTTCCTGCCGGGTGTTGCTCAGGCTCATTGAGGCCCCAGATAAGACATTGAGCCTGGCATTTGACCCATTTGACATCGGGGCTGTCCTTGACGTTTCAGTCTTTTGGCGCGGAGCCATCATGCTTACTCTGAATGTCAAGATGTCATTGATGATTGATGACCCTCGAGTTGGGGGTATTGGTGACAACACGCCTGGACGTCATGGTCGCGTTTCAGATAGCTTCGGGCAAACACTTATGGCCTGCCGAGTGATCTCTGATAGTGATTGCCATTGAGGATAATCTCTCTTACCACATATCTGCCTCGATAACACTCAGGGACCACAAGAACTAGCTGTGTCTGTTCCTGGAACATGAACACCTTTCATAGCCAAGTTAGAGATAAACAGAATCAACAATCATGTCAATCTGCTTTTTATTATTATCATCAACCCGGAACCGAAACTGGCACCGTGGCAAACATGGGAAATAGTCATAACTTGCTCCACTCTACCGCTGAGCCTCATCCTGCCAGAAGCAGAATCTCCTACAAACACGCTAACATTTCGTCAAGAGTGGAAACGTGGTTGAGAACGAAAATTGAAGAAAAGAAAGAGCAATCGGTTGAAGATTAATAGCTCAGTACTTAGACGTTGGAAGGGGCTGTGATAAGAGGAGGGAGGCGAATAAACGAGAATGTGGTCTGTTGGGTCCAGAAGAGCGAAAGAGCGCCGTAGTATGCACCGAAGGAAGCGATGATACCAAGGGCACCACCTGCAGTTGCCAAGTGCTCGTTACCTGTATCGGACGTCAGATAAAACATAATACTAGAAGGGAAAGACGCACCGGTGAAAGCATTTATTGAAAGACAAGTGAGCGCGCAAACGGTGAATCCAAGCGTTACCATGATGGGGGCTGTTGTGCGGATTGCGCCAAGGCTGTAAAATCATTGTAGACGTGCCCGCATAGCATACTACCTCGGACTTACAAGAAGACGAACGTAATCAAGTCCCATATGGCGAGGTAGATCCCGATGGCGTTGTAGAACTCCTGCCCGGAGTATGCAGAACTGAAAGGTATGTGAGGGAGGACTTGTATCAATGCTTGCAAACAACATACGCAAGGCCGATTTGAGGCAGGTAGAGAGCACCATAAGATAAGTTGAACCCTCCGTAGGTAGTAAAGACTGTTGCACTGAACGTGTTACTATGGGAAAAATCTCAGCAGTAGCTCTCCATACAGAGATCAGGACCATACCCAAGGAACATCTCCCACATGCCCACAAGTGTTTGTGAGATACCGCCATAGCTGGAAATGACTAGGTTACGACCAGGATCATTTGCAAATGACGAAAACTCACAAGGTGGCGAAAACCAAGACCAAGTTGGCTTGACCACCAACGTCCTTGGAGGCGAGCGTCAATATTGACGAGCACAGGAAGACGGTACCGTAGGCCAGCATTCCCAATGGTGCCTGAAAGCCAATTAAATACTGTCAACATACTATCAGTGAAACATGAAAGACATACAGGGTTACCGAATGTCCTCTGGTAGGGCTGCATCTGTGGTGCAGGGGGTAATGGGGCGTCCATGTTAACGGTCTGGACGTAGTAGTTGTCCTTTGAGCCCTCCTTTTCGGTAATAGAGTTTGAAGACATGACTGGACGACCGGTGCTGACTTGTAGTGCTATGATCCTTCAGAGAGCAGGAACAAGGTCAGGTGTGCACATCCCGAGCCCACCCCAGACATTTATACTAGGACTGGCGTATCTCCATTCGCATATGAGGCGCGGTGCCAATTGTGCGCATGCACTGCGCTACAGTGAGCAACGTGATTAAGTTCTAATCTGAGTGAGGGAGTAAACCCTGTCTATGGAATTCGAAGACGGGTGACCGTAGCTTCCAGGAACTGATCCAAAAGATGTACATACTGTTCACTTCCCACTCACGATCCAACTACTCCCGGTTATCTCGCGCAGAGCTCCGAGGAAGAGTCTACGCTGGAAAATTCGGAAAATCACGGGATATGATTTTGGTTATCTTATTTATTTAATTTTGCGCTCTGTTCCTTGTTGCAGCCTGTGCAGGGCACATCTCTGTCCAGATCAGATTGTGTTAGTTATCTTGATGAAAGGAACAGCCTGTCTCGGGACTCTATGAGGGATATCATAATTGCGCCACTGCGGGTACGGTGTTTCTGCATTTGTTAGGATGGTACCATGTCCTGATGGTGTTGTCAGTGGTAAAAAGTCAAAGAGGTGACTCACGACCTACGTCCTGGAGTTATCCCAGGCGATAATCGTTAAGGTAATCTGGTCTATTCAAAAACGTCGTTGTCAATGTCGACTTGACATTACGGCCGTCCTCTCGTAAGTTACTTGCGCGGACCCTAAACCTTACCTGATTTAGCCACTGGCACCACGCCGATTAAACCTTCGCATGGGATACGTTCTACACCTTGTGACTCGCCAGAGTACCCTCGTCCTAATCCTCGCTGTATAGAGCACAAGTTAGCTACCCAAACCCTCCCATGTAGCAGCATTCTTAGCAATAAAACATGAAAATGTTTTAGGAATACTACATGGGAAAGTTTAGGTAGCCAAACTCGGGCTCTATACAGGTTAGGACGAGGATAAGTACTAGTCACAAGGTGTCGAACGTCTCCCGTGCGAAGGTTTAACCGACGCGATGGTAGCCAGAACAGGAAAGATTTAGTGTCCGACGACATTTTAGAACTGATCAGATGGTCCAGACCTGTAACGAGTTGCCTTAATTCTAACTTTTCGAGGTTGCGTCTGGAGTTGCGCGCAGTCCACAACCATCCTCGTCATCCTTCATAACGGAGATTTGGAGGCTGTCGTTTACCCTCAGCCTTTCAAGCCATGAGGTTTGATTCTCTTTCAAACACCACTATCGTTCACTCGGTGGAAGCTTGAAAGTTCGTTCTGCAAACTTTGCTATGGAATGATAACGCACGCTATCTTTAAATCGAGAGCTGCTGGCTCTGGTCAACTGTGAGTATTTTGAGTTTGGTGTCTTATTTCGGTCTCCTTGGGGAGATTCACACACCCACAATGAACATATAGATTCTCCGATGCGCCTCTCAGTAGGACTGGTAGCAAGAGGTATCAGAAGAACCAAAGGTATGGAATTCTGCTTGACATGATAACACCCTCAACGCGCCAGGATGGCTGCGCAAACTCACCTGTCTACACTACTGACATCACGTAGGCTGGTTGCGTTGGACCATCTGATACACCATTAATCAGCCCTTCATATTATTTGGTCTTCAAGTCTATCGCACGTGGTTGACGGTCGCTTCCTTACCAGATTGAAACTTGGATGCCCAGAGCAGACAATCGAATTACCAGATTGCCGGTTGACTTTGCAACGGCAGCAGTATGCGTCGACTGGCAATACAAGTTGTGTACGTGCGAAGTCCTCGGACTCGTGCTAATTTGGGATGAAAAATACATGCCTGTGAACGCACAAACATAGTTCTCCTTTGTCCGCCATTCGATCACTCAATGGGTAGCAGATATGAATAGAGCACCACTTGGCGAACCGAAGTCAAGGTAGTGCGCGTTCCAACAACAGTGACCAAGCCCGTGACAATCAAATGATTGCAGGAAGATTTCGTGTTCCGCGTTGGCCATTGCACGCGGACAACAGGAAAAATACTCATGTGCGCACTCCTACTAATGCTTGGCCTGCCCAAATGCTTTGATCAACAGAAGAAGCAATATTTCCCTTTTGTTCTCAAGGCAATACCAGATGTTGGTTTTGGTTCAGGAATATTGGCGCATCTCAGACTTGCACTCTTTGCAAACGAAGGAGGCTCCTGCCTTTCGTGCGTGTGTATTGACACATGATATCACAGACTGCTAAATGCCGGTAATGTGCCTCATGATTGGAGCGAGAGATAAGCAGTGAAATGACAGATATGTACTTCCAGTATGAATCTAGATTTTATCAACAGCTATACGGCACTGCAAGTAACTGATTCAGTAAGTTTTGGACATCAACACACTTATTTGTGAACATTAATTCATGAGGCTGAGTATAACTTAATCAACAAGAGATCAGAAAATGTAAGCAGTAAAAAAAAACATGCTGATCCATCGTGGTTTTCGTCTCCCGTGGCCAGGCCTTGAAAGGCTCCTAGGGCAGTCATTCATTGTTCTTTGTGAGATAGCTCGTCCAAATGGTTCAAGAACGACGCCGCCAACTATTCTGGAAATTCCACATAATAGAGAAGAACTTCATATCAAACTCTTGTGACTTGACTGCATAACTTTTGACCATCTCACAAGATATCAAGCGCTCAAACAGTTTCGAGTGTTGATTCCAGGTGATTCCACCTCTGTGTCAAGTTACGTACATCTTACATAAATTATGTAAATGGTAATATCGCACGTTGAATTTGATTCCGAGCCTATACACAACTCGGTTAGTTGGAGTTCTCCAAAACTCCAGTTACACCAAGCGATTTCTTCGACAATGGCCTCAGTTCTCCGGTTGTACAAGTCAGTGGCTTCAAATTCCTCATTCTTGGTATTGCTTGCTCAAGTATTTCAGTGCGGCTCTCATCCGAAGACCCATGCTCGCACAATCCGCCACTGCTGCCTTTTTATTCGGTGCAGGTGATGTGATTGCCCAGCAAGTCATCGAACGTCAGGGAAGGAATCATGATGTGAGTATTGATGCTACTACAGGAAGAACTGGTTTTGATCATATCTCGCAGTTCATGCGCACTGCACGCCTCACTTTTTATGGGGGTAATTATATAAATCGAGTGTGGACCCTGGACTTGACATCTAATTCATGTCTAATTTTATCAGGAGCGTTCTTTGGGCCGGCCTTGACAAAATGGTACCAGCTTCTCAACCGCATCAAGTTCTCTAGTCCTACGAAGGCTGTGATATATCGTGTATGGATTGTACTGTCTCCTCGAATTTCATGAGGGAATGATCGCTTTTTGCAGGTTTGGCTGGACCAGGCGATCCTGACTCCTGGTTCGTTGACTACACATGGATCTACTCTCCTTTCTCACTATTCACTTTCTTCTAGTGGCTGTCGGATTCTTTTTTGGCACAATGAGTATCCTGGAGGGAAAGGGTATTTCTGGTGCACAGGACCGTATTAGTACTGTAAGCTGATCCCCCATGGAATATGGTAGCCACCTCACATGACTCCCAGGCGTATACCCCAACGTTAATCCGTAACTGGTGAGATTTGCGTTGTTGCCTACGCATCGTGCACTTAAATAGATCTAGGGGCGTCTTCATACCCACCCAAATCATCAACTTCGCTATCGTACCTCACCATCTTCGCTTTGTTGTCGTGAGCGTTGTCAGCTTGTTTTGGAGTAAGTTCGAGTTTATTAAGGACCCTTCTTTCTTGATCATTGCCTTTTAGACACGTACCTCAGCGCTGTTAATGCCAGTTCGCAGCATCAGGAAGCAATTGAATCAGACAAAGGCACCGAGAAGTAGCATGATCGTAACTCGTGGCGCGCCTCTCACAAGCATGTGTATATCAACTAGACTATCAGCACTGCCATCCCACGTGGAGACCTTTTGTTCTTATTGTTGAAGCATCCAGGATGCCTACTGAAGTCTAAAGTGGATAAGCATCGCTGTGAATGACTCGGGCGTCAGCGCTGCGCATGCACACACATATTATCATCCACTCTTTTTTTCTTAGAATGGACGAGGACCAGACCCCCCCAACTGGAAATGCATGATTCGAAATAGCTTCCGGAACGCGCTTTGTTCGAAATAGGACATTTCAGGTACAGCGCGAGCTGTTCTAGCCTCCGCGCTCGTCTACTATCATCTACTATCATTCGGTATTCCTAGGATGCTATCTGGTCACCAAACTACTTCCGCTCCAGTGGGGCCGGTATTCACTTGAAATCCGGAATCAAGAAACTTTCCTGCAGTGCTGTGATTCATTTTCTAGGAATTCGGAGGCCAGATCAAAATGCCCACAACCTGATGATCATCACTTGCGCTTCTGCTCTCAGAACCCTATACATAATTATTCTCAAAGGTGTACGCGTCAGTGTGACTGGGGAATTTTTCGCGTGGAAGGGCCATCACGTAGGTTCCATTTTAAAATTAGGGTGTGAAGAGCAAGTGGAAAGCCAAGGACTTGCTAGCGAGTACTCCCGGTGGCTATACTTCCGTGCTACTTTCTGACATAACTTCGAGTATCAGTGGGTGATCAAGAATCCGGAAGAACGGAAACCCGGCACACCGTCGACTTTGACAACGGACCATAACGGAACACATCAATATTCAGGAAACAGCATAATCCATCGAGATACTACACAGGTCAGAGAGTTGGTGGTTCCTCAACCGAGTTATTCAGCGCACGAGCTGCATACTATCTGTTACGCTCTATTCGTGACGGACCACCGCTATTTCGTGATATTTGTCTACAGCATTCGATTGTAAAGCAATTGTTTAGCTATTTCATTGAGTATGTTCTACATACTGTCCTAGCATATTCCAAGTAAAACAAAACGAAACCGTTAAGAAACAGTAGAGATCGTGGTGACAGCAGCAAAAAATCACGAATCTACCGTAGCTGCCGACGTCGAGCATTAAATTTGACAGCGCCTTCCATTGCAGCCGCAGTCTGTGAGCAAGTGGTAAGCACTAGCGCTGAGCAACCACCATCCCATACCACAAGGCATCACCAAGGCAAGCTAGTAGCGTCTACCGACCCCGCCGAGTATAAGTCGAGCACCAATAAGTGTCAGGGCAGAGGCCGACAAATACTGTAAGCTGTCACGGTGACATTCGTTGGTGTAATGAAACCACGAGGGATCGTAGATCGTCTAGTTGCCGTAGTGCCGCGCAAGATGCTGATACAGCAAAGGTAGAGATCCGGCCGAAGATAGAGGAATAAGAATACGTCTTGGATTCAAAGTGAACACGACTGAAAGCACCCAAAAGTAATCCAGAGACCCAGGCGCTGGAAAGGACGGAAATAACAGGACGCGAGAGAAGAGATTCGGAACCACAAGCGACAACAGGCGAGACAACCCTTATAAGAGATGCGGCCCTGTCTTCTCTCACATACCGTAAGCGAAGGACGCGGCGAGATCCATCATCGACATCCCCGACACCCAACGTGAACGTTAGTGGGAGGAAGGCTCTGAGCATAATAAAAATTACCGAAAAAATGTGCAACCGGTAGTGCTGATTTTATCCACGGCTAATACTTTCATGTCGACTAACACGTGCGCACGCCGTCGACTGAAGCATTGAACTCGTTGTTGCAATGAGCATGCCAATTGGGGATGAAGACAACGTAGTTTAGGATAGTACATGAACCGGGCTGACCCATGTCTTGAGCAATATCGCGCGAGGCAAAGCAAAGCAAAGCGATGTCGGGGAGTTGGGACGCAAGCGCCGAGACAAGTTACAACGCTTATGAGAGATGCGAGTCATGCCTCGAGATCTCACAAGCGAAGAACTGTACAGTACATGTCAAAAGGAATTCCCACGGGCGAATTGTCAGCCTACAGGTAGTGTAGGGGGCGGAAAGGAATCGGCCCCGTGGCAATTGGCAGAATGGGATCGATCGTGTCTTGCGCTCAAATCTTGCATCTACTCCTCGTCAGTCATTGATTCCGGACCCGCAAGATAGTTTTGGTCATCAGAGTCTGCTGCGAGGGGAGGAATTCATTTTGCGACTCTTGGGAAAGAGCAGCAGGAGTCCATGTTTAGAATGGGTATGCATATGTGCCGGGCTTGCACGAAGTGATTCGAATGTGTGAACTGACAAATTGCATCATTTGACGAACTAGACTCAACCGAGACATGAAAAGTGGTCTTGTCAAAGACAGACATCATGGAGTCCACAGGATGTTTGCCTTTGACAAGACCTACTTTGTGGGAGTTGGGGGTTTCATTGTACAGGTCTCGCGGCAGACTCTTAACTTCAATCCTACTGCAGAATTTCTTCGCTACCAGAACTTCCTGCAACCTCCAGTTCCTCCCAGTCTGTCACCGGATGAGTTGTTAAAGATTGTACATTAAGATCGTGAAGTCAGAAGCAGAAGTTTGGAAAGATCCTGTAAGCCTGGCGCTTACTACGTGACAACGTATTCCACGCTCATTGGACACCGCATAGTACGTACTATTTGTTCCATGTTTGGACTGATGCACGCCGACTCATTTATATAGCTCGCCGCATACATGCTCGTATCTTATCTCTTTCTTACCGTACCATCAATCATACGCTCTTCCACGTTACTGTTTGTCTGTCAGTGTTGCCGTCGACGTGACGGCTTTCCAGATCCATGAAGATCATGATGGTCAGTATACACCGATGCTGACTTTGTTTCCAACTCTGTTCGGTATGTTGCATCCCAACTAGTCAGATCTATGGTGTGAATAATCGGAACAGATGCGCAGGTTTATTTCTAAGGGACTAATCGTTTCTTCTGATGTGCGTCATAGCACTAGACACCGTGTATCCATGATGTCGAAGGTCTCCGGAGGTTCACGCAGTCCTGTGAACTATGCGATGTTCCTTTGATAACAAAGTCAATAAGTGAGCATCTCTTTCGAAATTCGAAGGCCTACCGACTTTCTGGGACCTTTAAATGCTGCTTCAAGGTTCAGTAACGCGCCTCGTCCGAGCTCCGGAATGCAAGTACCAAGTGGCTGTACCTTGGTTGACGGTGGTGCCAAACTAGACTTCTTATACAATATCATGTATCAGGCGTCTGAGGATGGTCATGGATGTATCGTCCTCCCTGAATGCCCGACGTCCACCCAAATGCGACGCCCAAAGCGGTTGCTGGGCTGAACAAAGAATAATACTCTCTCCCAAGCCTGACCTTGACCGCAACCAGATCGTATGGGCTTTCTTCTGAGGTTGTGATCGATTCAGCAACTTCTCGTTCGAAGGTGTGAGAGCCGCAAACAAGGAAATAATCCCGCAAGGAATACAAGTTTAATTCGATGGGATAAACGGTCAAGTCCACCTCTACGATGGAGCGATCGTCGGGGGATGTTTTCACCGTATCTTTGTCGAGCGCCTTGATTTCATTGACGCGCTCTTCGCATATCCAGGACTCGATCATCGCAATAACGGGTAAACTTTTGCGGATCTCGCGTACATCTTGATTGCCTTCGAGTTAAATCATCAGATAAGACTTTATGAATGCGCAAAACAAGAATCTGACCGAGAGCTGAACGCAACATGCGGCAGTGAACACGATGGCCGGATTCCCAAGCATCCTTCTGGCAATCTTTTGAGCAGTAACGTGTCAGCATGCACCCCGAACAACGATATGCCGTGGCATCGTCTTCGGAGAAATCGACAGGGCACTAATAAATAAAGCATTTCAGTTGGCGAAGAGAGGCGGACCGTTCTCGAACGTACTTTCAGGCTACAACACCGATACCGGTAGAAAGGAGCTCCTTCAGGCAGCTCGTGGAAATTGGTGAAGGTACGAGCCGCGGAGTCGACGGCTTGCCATACCTCCCATAATACGGGGTCTTGGGATGCTCGTTCTTCAAGGTCTACCCGATCTAATCTCTGAAGGGCGGGGTGAAGAACCCGTAGCACTTTTGAGAACACGAAGAACCGGGGAAGCTCTTTGAGCAATTGAATGTCATGGTCATCATCAAAGCGTTTGGCATTGTCAACACGTTCAGCTCGCGATGACCCGGTTCGTAGGAGACATTCGAGTAGACCATGCTGAAGGGCTTGAGATATCACCAAAGCAGAGTCATTTGCGCAATTCATCGAATAGCCGATATAGCGATATGCGATGTATAACACTCTGCGTCGCGCCGCCAGCCCTATATCTGGTTCATTATCCGAACTATTCCAAGCAGGGGTTAGGAGCCGTTCCCAGAGTGTCGCAACAGCGCTTAGGACAGTACGAATTGAGCCGATTTGGAGGAGCAATTCTTGACAACCACCCTCTCTGTCGCCCAATGATTGCATGAAGAGGATGGCTTGAGCCAAGCCAGTAGCACATACTGTCATGGACGAGAAGTCAACATTTTCTCTTGCTCGTAACCGGGGTTCCGGCATATTAGACACCTCTTTAGTCATACGACGAATATATCGGAGGGCTAATGAGGCCATGGGGAGGGTTCCACCAGCAGCAGAAGCGATGATGGATACTGGTAGAGACGCTGGGGTGTCTTCCATACAGATAACGCTGAGCGAGCACATATTCGCCCGTATCAGTGCACTGAGATTTTTGTCGCCTTCTCGAAGAGGATCAGCGACGTCATCGCTCTTCAACCCGTCGACGATGACCCAAGCTCGGAAGAAAAATGCTTGAACAGTGGGGTTCACCCTCATCAACTGCCTGCCGGTTGTTGTGAATTGACACAAGGTTGACAGTGGATGTATGGTAATCCTAAGGGCTTCGTAAGTGCTAACAGACAGGCCATGTGGGAGGGCGGCAGGTCTCTGCGAAGGTGGAAGGAAGTTGCTGCTGAAGAACTGCATCCACGGGAAGAGCATCTCCCACTTTGAAGCAATAGCATCATGGACAATGCGTTCTCCGAGACTGATATTGTTACCGAGGTTATGACAAATTTGCACAATGCCACCCATGGACCATTTGGCGAGCATGATTACTGGTACAACATCAGGACTAATTCTGTCCGGAACAGGGTATGCCTCCAGTTGTGCGTGAAAGACGGGAAGCAAAAGTGGCGTGACATCCTTGAGTTGATTGAGACTACCAACAACGTCTCGGAGATCTTCAACTGAGCCACGCAATGCCCCATCAATTTTACGCTATGACAGCGAGAAACAAGAAGTCAGCGTTGTCGTGCCTTCTGGGGGGATTCAAGCACACCTGCATCAACCGAGGCAGAACCCTGAGAGCTTCCCTATCCCGTGCGTTAATTCTGGGTGCCATGATTGAGATCCAAAAAGTATAACGGTATCGATGGTATCAACATAGTAACGATCGTACATAAGCATTTCCAGATCTACATTTGTACATAAACCAAACAACTACATAATCCAAGTGATGCTGGGCCCTTGTGGCCCACTGAGTGCCACCATGAATCAACTTCAGTACATTTGATTTTCCACCCCACGGATCCCATCACTCTCCTAAAAACTTTCAGGACCAAGCCAGAGCTAAGTGCGAAAGTTACTTGATATCGAATGCGATCTAGTTGGTGGTCGGTTCGTTCTCCGTATTCTCAACTGTCGAATTTCGTTTCTTCGTCACTCCCATCGTCACATTACTAGTGCATAACTTGAACCGACAGATGGGCTTTCTATGGTGTGGATTTGCCAACGTGAGCTCATATGACACCTCATTGCAATGATCGTATAATGATTGCAGTATGAAAGTCAGACCACTGTGTTATACTTTCAAGCCTGCTTTTTGTTGAAGTGTGGTATGCTATGCTATCCCTTCTTTCCGAGGCACTGATTTTGTGCTTTCTTGTGAAGAGCACAAGTCTTATGGACCCTGGTATGTGTGTTACGACGAGCTCAAGGCTATAGGTTATGTTCTAGATGCTCAGCGCAACTCGATGATCTCTTTTCTCCAACTCTCTCATGACCACCGACCAACTCATCTTAATATCGTGTAGGTCGTCAATTGTCCTACTCTCCTAGAGCGTCTACTTCAGTCCACCTGATTACCTTTTGCCATAGGCACCATAATTCCCCTGAAAGTTCTGCAAACGTCCGGTGTAAGGACCACACATTCCTGATACCAATATGCACTCTGAGAAACGTGTTAACGTTTATGGCGATTGGATCATGTCGTCTTCTACCGTCGTCAATCTGATTGCTTTGATATGGTACACGTGTGCGAAACTCGTTACAAAACATGATATATCCATACATACAACGCGAATCGGCGATTTGTCCGTTGGAACAGTAACAGTGCAGGAAACGGAAAAAAGATATGTAGCTAATGCGTTGGGTAAGAAGAGAGAGATGATGCCTCTTAATTCAAGGTCGGCTCCTCTGCATCAGGCGCAAAGCGAAGCCGCGCAAGGAGTATGGTATCCCAGATCTTGTGGGTCAGCGATACCTTACTCGTGAAGTTGGTCGACGCGGGGAAGAACTCTTTGCCATCAGACTTGATCGTGAAAGCGCCCCATGGATGATTCGCTCTGCGAGAAGAGAAAACGTTGAAGTATGCCTCCCCTGACGAGATGGGATCGGCCACAAAGAGAGCGTAGTCGCGCGCGTTTACAGTGCCCGTCACTACGAAACAACGTTACTCAGACTAAGCCAGGGAGGTAGACATTGTCATGCACGTACCAAGAAAGACGTCTTCTTTCTGTATAGGGTGATTCGGTGCGTATTCTTGCAAGATCAAGTGTATATTGTCTTTAAACCACTGTGAAACCGCGGGAAGATTGCCATAGGAAAAGTCCCGGAGGTCGTACGACTCAGCGTATACAGCAGCTGTCTTCCTGCCAGCTTCCAGGGGAAATGCTTGCCTGCGAGATACGTTTTCGCCGCTGCAAATGTTTAGCACAAAAAATACAGCCATAAGCCTAAGCGAGTAAAACGTACTCGTGACGATTTCCACCAAGTTTGAATCTACTCAGCATACTTGAACTGTTGTTGTGAACACGACGTGCCTTCCCGATGTTGATGCTACCGTAATCCCGCAAGGAAGTCATGCATTTTGCCACATCACCCTCGGCCTTCTTCTTTCCTCCAATCTCAATGACGTTGCAGAGGGTTATGAACTCCCCGTCAGGTTTGGATACATATCCCACAGCACCCACCTCGACAGGTGATGGATACCAAAGAGGCGTTGTGACTAGCGGGCGGCGAATATCAGCGCACACGATCGCACCACGAAGGTGAACAGAACTACGACTCACACAAATCTCCATACCCGTGGGTGTCCTTGGCTAAAAGCCTGTAGCGCCTCTCGTTCTGCATGGCCCGTGCCCATGTGGACGTGGTCATCATCTCAAGAAGGAGACTGTCGACGGTGTGCTCGAAGACGGTGCCGACCTCTCCGACAGCGTTTGGATCTGTGAAACCCGATGTCCCGCTGGACATAGACGACTCTGGAACGTCCGGCGAGTCCAGGTCAGGTTCTGAATGTCCGAACTCAGATCCAAATCCAGATGACGCGCTGTAATAATCGGACATGGATGGAGTATGTGCTAGCCGAGAATGGCCTTCAGAAGTGGGTGTACCAAACACTCGAAGGCCAGGCGAGGGACGGTCTGAAAAGCCAATGGCCGGTGAGTTCGCAGGACCATTCGGCGTGCAAGGAGCTGGTAAGCCGTCCGCGCCATAGGGATGTAAGAGATTCCGACAGCCTCGAAGCCAGAACACCGTCATGGAAAATGGAGAACGACAACGAGGGTCACGCGCCCAGCAGCAGGTGATGACTGGGAGCACAATCGTGGAAAGAGGGGTATCGGACACCTCTGGGCGGGCATCGTGTTCTAGATATACATAAGCAAGTTTGAAAGTTGGACAAGATGCCTCGAACGTACCGAGCACGATTCGCTTTACATCTTCGTCGTCTCTGGTGCCATAAGGAATGCTACCCATATTAAGGATCTCCACGCAGCAGATAGCAAAAGCATAAATGTCGGCTTGCATTGTCGGACTTGCGACACCGTCCAAAACTTCTGGTGCTTTCCACCTCGGCGTCCCATCTGTGCAGCCAGGCGGTCAGAAACAAGGCATTACTTTAAGAGCCAGCATACTCGGTCGTTGACGTCCGCTCAGCCTGTAGGCATCATCCTTGAGTTCACTCTGACCGAAGTCAGCGATGGCACAGTTTCCTTCCGTATTCACGAAAACGTTTGCGCACTGTTCCGATACATGAGTAAAGCGTGAGGACATCGTAGGGCTCACGAACCTTCAAATCGCCATGCACCACCCCTTGCGCGTGCAAGTATTCCATCCCGCCAGCGATCTGAGAGATGAATCGGAACTGGTCCACTTCGCGCGGCGTGGTATAATCATCGCGTGCTGCGGTCAGCAACCACTCCACGAGGCTTCCGCGTTCGTATAGCTCGCTCACGATGAACCATGGCTTAGAACCATGGGCGCTACTCGCGCCGAACATACGAACGACCTGAGGGTGCCTGAGTCTGCGCCACAGCTCGACCTCTCGACGAAATGTCGAAGCTGGGATAAAGTCGTGGAGAACCTTGATGGCGACCACTCTATCACGCCATGATCCAGCGTAAACTCTAGAGAATGACCCTTGGCCGATCATCTCGAACCGGTCGACCTCATATCTAAGCAATCGTGTCAGTACAGGAGCATGACATGAAACTGAGAGGGGACCCACCGCGTGATCGTCCATGAAGGAAGTTCCCATGGCAAAAGAGGGTTGTCATTGCCGGCACTTCGCACCTGCATGCAACGCAGCTTCGACATAGAGATGATGCTAGCATCCAGAAGCTCCATCTCAGCGAGAACACTGTCGCTGGCGGCGGTCGTCCGCGAGAATGCATGGTGCAGGGACTCCAACTGTCGCCGCATGGCCTTCATTATTTCGGCAACTTCGTTTCGTTCAATCTCCAAGCCATTGAGGACGTCAGCATCGCACAGCGCAGTACTAATGAAGCCAGGAAGATGTTCGAGCTGGAATTGGTCGTGTCGGAGTTCCTTATCCGGGTTGTCTTCAGGGAAAATAGGGAGCAGCTCGCGACGAACTTCGCCCTCGGCGGTCGTCAGACACTCTGGCATAGATGGGACGGTCTCTGCAAGTGTGTAACATGTGTTGCGCTTCTGGCTCGAGTTACATGCTGCGGACGTCTCTGTGTCCGGGGTTGATGGTGCGTGTGCTAGCGAGTTGCGATCCGCACATAGCGTCACGGTGTTATCCGAAAGAACCGAACCCAGGTCGTCAATTTTCCCGTCAAGATTCGAGACATTCTTGACGATCCTCACAGATACCGTTGCCTGTGCCGCGAGCTGTCGTTTCAGTTGGTGATAATGCGACAAGAAAAATGGCATACAGTGAATCTCAGCCAAGCATCCATCAAAGCCTGATCGCAATTGCAAAGTTCTTTTGCAATTTCAGCTCTCCTAATGAAGCGTTTGAGCATTGGGCGACGGCTGATTCTGCAGAGAAACCCCTCAATCTATGATTTACGCTGGCGTCAATACTAGAGCGGAGGCAGAAAGATATCAAAAACATACTTGGAAGATGACTTCTCTAAAGACGTGGAAGGCAGCGTCGAGTTCCTTGCCAACGATTGGACCGATCCCTTCGATCTGCTCACGGACAAAGTAAAGCATTCCTGCACAGCGTTCGACGATGCGAAGGCAAGAAAGTCGATTCGACTGCAAAACGACGTTTGAAGGGAAAGATGCATGAAATATCAGCAACAATGGGGACGATTAGCCATGGGGTGTAAGCAACTCACCGAAAGTTGCTCGCACGCGTCCCAGATAATCAGGAGGGTCCGCGACGCCTCCAAGAAAAACGGTAGTGGAACTAGAGTAGCCGCATCGTATGTACACTCCAGGATGGTCTTTAAAACGGGAAGCGCTTCATCAATGATTGTCCCAGCTGTCGAGACAACACCTAATAGAGTTAAAATGAACTTCCTTTCTCATTAGCGAAGGGAGGGACCTACAGGACGCTCTAGAATCTTTTTTCACGTGTTCAGAAGTCAACCCGTCTCGTGTCATTACTGAATGGCACGCCAGGATGACATTCTGTGAAGCTCTGTAAGGGAAGGTACAAAATGAGACGGAGACAGGGGGGCTCACCTTCTGTGCCCTTTTGAAACCTTCTACTTCGGCGCCAGTAAAACGAGAGAGTGCCTTCGATTTGTGGCACCTCTCCTTATCGCCACATTTTCCTTGGTCATCATCGCATACCATTGTATGCTGCGAAAATGAATGCCGTCGAAAGGGAGCAAAAATACTCTTGGATCTCGCCATCTCTCTCTCAGCTTCCGCGATTCCGACACCCAATGGCCTGAGTATCAAATCACCAGGTTCTCCATTAGACGTCGCGTCGCTGGGTGGGAGATTTAGGCGCGTGCCGGGCCCGATCGAATTCAGCCTTTCGTCAGGTTTAACTCTGGGCTCATCTTGATATACGAAATCTGCAGGGGTCCAGCACTCGTCAGCATTCCATGGAGCTGTCATATTCCACCTGCGCCTTGGCGGGCGTCCTGGAGGTGTGACGTCGCCCTTGACATGAGTAGAAAAATCTACTTCATCGTAGTCGCAATCGGCGAATGAACCACTAGCTTGGAATGAGGATTGAGCACGACGAGATGGTGAGTGAGAAAAGGAGTGCGAGCTCCTATGGTCTGACGTCGAAGGGCTGTGTGCGAAAGAGCTAGACCTCAAGCGAGCATAAGGCACACTACCTATCACAGGGTGGTTGTATGACGACGAACGTCTGTGACTTGGATGGGGAGAATGTGCACCACCATGAGGCGGTGGAGCCTCTAGTATGGGAGAGGCTGCAAGTGACGGCGGCCGATATCCAGATAGCGAAGGTGACGAATATTGGTTAAAGGAACCAGGGAATAAGCGAGGGCGCACATAGGGAGTCGATCCAGCAGAAGAAGTTCCAATGGACATTGTCAATTGTTCAATGCGCTGTCTAGGTGATGTCTGCGGACTGGAAGATCCGATGGAGCGATGAGCAATATCTGAATCAAAGATGAGGTGCGGCGGAATGGCATTGAAATACGACTGGCTGAAAGACGGCCTGCGCTGGTGTGAGGGAATCCCGCCGCCTGGGCTCTGCAGTGGAGCCTGCCGATGACGAGGGGACGAAGGTGGTTTGAGTGGGGAGGAGATGAGCGGTGAAGAAGTAAAATCTAGCGGGGTGCAAGATGGTGACGACATCGGCGCCAGTCTGAGGGCTAAATCTCGCGGAGAGGTTCCCGGAGAGGACATTATGCTAAGATAAAATCAAAAGTTATCAACGCGATTGAACTGATGCAGTAGTATAGCCAGAGGACGTTGGGAAGGGAGAGAACTTTGCTGAAACTGAACGAGTGGGTGGGCAGTTGACTTTATAGTCTTCAGCAATGGAGTTTCAA